CAGTATTTGTCACAGTATTGCAGAGACAAGTTTATCTATCTCATCTTAAGGGTTCTTGTGATTATTAATATTGATATTATTAATATCAATTAATATATATGATTAAATTTATTTTATCCAGGACAAAAGAAAAAAAAACTTCTGAAAGTGAAATGAAAAACAGGAATTTAGTTCTTGTGAGTTAAGAGGATGCAGAGCATATGCTTAGATGGAGGTGGATCATTCACTGTGGTGATCCCTGAAGGAAACAGCCAAGAGAAAGAGGATCAGATTGCAAAAAAAATGTGGTTTGTGTGCATACATGAGTCTTTACCGTACCCACAGGACTTCTGAAGTACAAGTACTCTGAAGTTTGCAGAGCAATTTCAGAGATGTCTGGGGATTACATGGCAAGCATGTTTTTAGTTGCACATCTAAATTTTCTCTGCTCTCTGTTTGGGCCAGAGATCCAATGTTGTCCATGACTATCTCCCCTTCAACAAATATTCCAATGTCATCATAATTAGGGCTGGGTATCGTCACTGATTTCTAGAATCGATTCAATTCCGATTCACAAGGTCCCGAATCGATTCGATCCACGATTCGATTTAATTCGATTCGATTCGATTTAAATCTGGGAAATTTTGACAGTCAGAAGTATAATTCAGATCAGAACATTTACATATTTTTGTATCTATAAAAAGGAAGCTGACACTCGCAAGACTTTATCCAAGGTGTGAGCATCACAGCAGATGCCTTTGTGTCAAAGTAGCTGAAGATAAAACAGAAAAACATGAAGGTGATTTTCCTGGCCTGGGATTTTATAAAAATATTCTGCAGTACATCAAAAACGAAAGAAAACCATTAATTAATGAACATTGCCTCTGACGTTACAGCGCTTTTATTAGACACACGGCTAAGCATTTTGCATTTTGAATAATATTAAAAAGTTTAAATTTGTTCAGTATTGAACAGCAGAAATGAGGTTTTCTTTTTGGAAGAATGTAAAAGGGAAAAAAACAGCGGCCGACAGCGCTGTAAGCAACAGTAGACTTGTGCGTAACAAGCAAGCGAATAATGAAGAAAGCGAAACTGTTCGAGAGAGAGAGAGAGAGGGGGGGGAGGGAGAGAGGGAGAGAGAGAGAGCTGCGCATCGCAATGGAAGCAAAACAGTAAAAGAGTGAATTCATGACGATGTTTATGTGAAGCGTTTGGATCTTCTTTTGCTGCTGGTTCGGTCAATATTGTTTGGAGAGAGATCAAACTAACAGCTTTAGAATCAGCGCATAAAGGGCGTGAACACAAAGCGCGGACCCGGATCAGCGAGCTGTCGGCTTTCAGCCCCGACTGTGAGAAAGGCGACATCTAACTGATTCTGATCCGCGGGTTGTGCTGTGTGTTTAAGTCCATGTGCAGAATCCCTGTACCTGCTCTCATTTACTGTTTGGTGGTTCTTGAAATTTTGTGAGATGTCACCAGAGATTCTGGCATTTCGGACAAAATAAATTTATATTAAAAAATCGATTCAGGATTTTAATGAATCGATTTTACGTTATCCAAGCCAGAATCGATTTTAATCGATGAATCGATTATAAAAACCCACCCCTAATCATAATGTCCATTTTGTCCATCCTCCTTGTTGATGACATAAATGCCCATGGTGTGCTTCTTCAGGTCTGTCTGGATATCATCTCCTTCAATGTCCTAAACATTTAATATCTGCTGGATAGGAAGATTTCTAAAACCACACATCAAGAGAATGCTGTTATGTAAATTACCAATGACTGGTGCTCTTGTGAATAGGAGTGAAACTCTTGTACAACAATCATTTGTTCTGTGTTATGTTTTGATTGAACATTTTAACTTTCAATAATGAATGTTTCACGTGTGGTACATTTGAGTAGCTTGAAGAGCAATTTTGTAATTATTCAGTTATAGCTGCTGCCCTGCGTATAATCAGTGTTAACTCAACCTAATTTAAAAGAAAACAAAAAAAAATAATTCATGATTACCACACTGCAGCACACTGGTAACACTTTAAAGACTATTAATTGTTTTGAAGCGAGTATGTTAGGTCAGAAAACATGTAAAACATTCAGAATCTTCAAGGAAGGACTAGAATGGAAAGACAGTGGTCAATAAGCAGTAAGGAAAACACAAGATTAGTTTTAAGTCTAATTACCTTATTAAAATGCAATTTCTAAATATGGATCGCAGAACAGCAAGTCTGAAACTGGTTAGTTTGTGGATGCATCAGTTTCTTTTTTTTTTTTTTTTTCTCCCCTGTCCCATTTGGTTCTTTAGCCATCAGAATTGTTGTCTGAAGACCAACAAGGATACCCAATGGATTTACTTTGCCAAATGGATCATCGTGGCATTGCCGTATTGGTCCATTTGGTCGATCTTTGTTTTTATTATTTATTATATTTTATTTTCAGATGTTACAGACGGGACAGACATGAGTGAGGGATAGGAAAGGGAGAAAGAAAGAGGAAAGAAAGGTAAAACAGAAGGGGAGAGGGACAGTGAGAAAGGGGGGAGAAAAAAAATAAAAATCTCCTGGATCACCTGTTGAGAGAAGAATAGAAAACAAGCAAAAAAAAGACAAAAAAAAACAAAGCAACATACTAAACACAACACCATCGCATTAATCTAGCTAAGTGTAAACAGCAGCAAATACTAAATATTCAATGTTGTTGTGCAGCACGCAGGACAGATGTGCTTCGAAGTAGCAGCCAAGAAAGGTGTAATTTGGGTCTACGAGCAGTGAACACCCGTGTGCATACCTGTGTGGATCAGCGCGCTTGTATTCCAAAGGTTTCTCCATGTAACGATCTGCTAGGGAGTGTGGGGGGGCCACAGCCCCGTCCTCCAGGGTGTGAAACAGGTATGGAGGAGATCAAAACTCCAGACATCCGGAGGTCCCCAGAACACAAGAGACCATGGAAGACCAACAGAGGGGCAGCCGCGCCACTGTTCCAGTAAGAGCTGAGGAGAGTCCCAGATGAGGGTTCACTCAGCAGCCGCGGAGCAGAAGCCAGGGGGAGTTGCAGTGATGCGCCCATGAGCTCCGCCGGTCGCCAGCTGTGCCTGAGTGACCGAGCCCCAGGCTGAGAGGCCGGGGGCACCCCACCCCCGAAGGGGCCCGAGCGAGCGCCAGGCTCCAGGCCCCGATAAGCGGCCGCCAAGGAGTGAGCCGGTGTGTACCTGGACGCCCACCCCCAGACACAAAGAACCACCAACGCACCGACACCTGAGGGAGTCCGCCACCGGCAGGGGAAGTGGTGGTAGGTGGAGATAGGCCTCCAAACCTTGGAGGGCCTGAGGTGACCCCAGAGAGGTGGAGTCTGATACCCAGCCTGACATATAGACACAGACATACAGGCACACACAGACACAAACATCCATTCCCACCCTCATGCTCTCATATGCACTTACTCCACACTCAACCAACGTGGAGACAAACATAAAGAGACGCTGTACACACGATCACACTCCCCAAGCGTACTCTACAAACCGGGTCTAGGTACCCTTGCCCCTGGAGGGGGGAACCGCACCCAGACCCAGGTGGTGTTACCCTTTTCCCTGCGGTGGGGAGAGGCAGACCACTCCGACTCCGTAGCAGCAGGGAGGCCCCACACTCCAGACCGCAGTCGGACGGCCAACTCCACCTAGCCCTCCCGCTCCAGCAGGCCGCAGAGAATGGGGGTGGGAGAAGACTCCAAACCTCCCTCCACCCGCTCATTGTAGTGTTGATGCATATGTGTTCTAAGGTGCAATTAAAACCCAGGAGGGCTTGGAGCTACCTGCCAAGGAGCAGCAGGTAAGCACATAGTCCCTCCTGATAGCCCTCAATGTCTAAGTGTATTTAAAATTGAGAGGTGGGCAACGACGCCAGGGGTGAGGTGTACACCCTGATGGTAATTTGGACTCCGTGATTGTGCCCACCCCCAAGATCCTATATGTATGTGTAATGAGAGTGTGAATAATGTGAATGTCTAAGTTGTGGGATAAAATTGAGGCAGAGGCAGCCAGAAGGGGACAGAGGGGGGTAGCCTCCTCTGCACCCTGGTGACATACCCCTACTCCAAGGCCCTGCATGTGTGGGTGGTTGTGGTGGAGCGGGAAGAGGGAGGCAGCTGGAGATGGGGAGGGAAGGAAGGGAGGGGCAGGTAACCCCTCCCTGGGGCCAGCTCCCCCGCTGACCCCAGTAGGCACTCCCACACTCCGCGACCCGCCAGGGGAAGGGGGCCCAGGCCCATCCAGACCGGGGCCCAGTGCAGCAGCGCCCCCCGGCCCCACAGAGCCCGGGACAGTCCTCCCAACCCCACCACAGAGAAAACTGCACCCACCCCACCATCAGTTTCTAATTGTGATACTTTATACTGCTGGCAGTGTTTTATTCTTTTATGTAAGGAGTTTTTTTTTCTTTTTTAGAGGAAGAGAAACATTGGTTAACATTTCTCTTGTCTGTTGTTTCTGTTTTGTTTGAATACAGCTTTGTAAAGCTAGTTCATAGGCAAAAGTTTTGTAATTTGTATTATACAAATTGCAGCAATTTCCCTTAGAGATGTGGATTCTTATTCTGTTTGCAACAAATTTAGCATTAATAAATGATGTGAAAGAATTTTGTAGTTTTCATTATTGACGTTTTTAAAAACTACAAATCAGGGTAAGCAATATTTTTTTAAGTAAACTTAACTTAATTGAAATAGAGAGAAATTAACAATTTGATTGATTTGAATATAAGTTTGGGACATAAGTGTAAAGGAAACAAATTATTTTGGTACACTTAACACGACCTTAGTTGGACTTACTAATAATATTTGACTAAGTCGTATCCACAACAGTTAAGTTAAAGTAGCTTAAAAATATATGTTGGTTTTACTCGCTTAAATTAAATTCAGTGTACTTAAAAAATATTTCTGGATTCAAACAAATTTATTTTGTGCAACAACTTGTCATAAAAAAAATTGAGTAAATTGAACAAAACATTATTTTCAGTGCAGGCTTTTTGAGCCATGCCTGGCCACAGCACAGGGGCTCCACGCCACAAGTACCCCAACTCTTGCTCTAGGGCGGACAACCATCGAACCAACCGGACTATATCCAGGGACAGCACAACCAGCCAAGACTCCTACAAGGATCCTCATGGGGAGCAAATACGTGACCACTCCCGCTATTCAGAGGGCAGGTATGGTCGAGGAAGAAGCCACCCTCGAAACGGCACAGGAAGGGGTTCAGAGACAATAGGATTTATTCCGGGGTCGGCAGACAGCGTGCCGAGCAGCAGGCAGTCCTGTGCCTCCATGGGCTGGAGTAGCTGTAAGGCTCTTATCTGTTCTGTTCTCACCTGTGGATTTTATGGCACCCGGGAGCCCTGGGTTAACAAGAGCTCCACAGACCATACCCCCAAAACGGTCGGTGACCCTCGACCTCCTAACGGCATAGCTGTGAAAACCCCTGGCATGTCTTTGGAGCCCAATAATAAGCAGCCCAAGACCCCCAGGTTGCCCCTGAATGACAGTTTCCGTTACCCAGATGTGCACATAGCAGGTCAGAAGGTAAAGTACCCAGTTGCTGACCCCAAACGGGGTCGCGCATCAGGTAAAGGGGATAACCAGCGGCCGGTCAGCAGCACCAGCCTTATATCCTACGAAGACTACGACTTGGATGAGCAGAGCGACAAAGACATTGACTCTCTGATCACCAAGAAGCTGCTGGAGCTTTACGCCCTGCATCAGATTGACCAGCTGGCCAAGTGCACCTCTGATTCCTCCTTCTCCCACGAGATCAGCGAGCTCATCTACAGCATCGCTCAGGACTACAACCTGGAGGATCAAGAGGCCGAGTGCAAGCTGGTGCACGGGGTCATCCGCATCAGTACGCGGAAGGGCAAAAGGAACAAGGGCTACCTGTTGACCGGGCAGCATCATAACAGCAGGAGGGATGGGACCCTCCCCGACAGTGACAACGAGACCATGACAAACACCTTCATGAGCAGTGATTTTCCAGAGGTGAAAGTGTCGGAGCAGACACCATCAGACGAGCTGGCGAGAAAGATGAGAAATTACAGCGGGCGAACATATTCCTCCAGCACTACTATGGCTTACTCAGCGTACCACCACGACACTGAAACCTACTCCTCAGGCGCTCCTCTGATTCTCTAAAAGTCAAACAAAAACAATGAGATGTAGCCAGTTACATGTTATGCATTGTGATTTATTTTGAAATGTACGTTCATTCATGTCGTCTTACATAGTCAGGGACTGAAATCCACCTTCAAAATATACTATGAGTGCTTAAGCAGTGTGTTTGTTTTATTCACAAGACAAGAATAGACGGTCTTAATATAAAGTCAAAATAAAACTAAAGCAAAAAGCTCTGTCTCTCCTGAGTGGTTAAGGCTTGTGCCTTGTTCAACCTCATTGCTCATCTTACTAATTTAGAATAAATAGGATGTCACCAATTATTAGCTTCATAACTACAACTGTAGACACTCATCATGGTTCACTCGCTTGATAATTAAAGCAGTTTCTACACTCATGGAAACAGACAACACGTGGTACATGACACATGTGGCAAGATCACAAACCTTGTCAAACACAATAGGAAATCATAACAACGTGAGGAGAGGGACAGGTGGACTTCTTTGGTGCTGCAGGAACTACCCAGGTACAGAGGGAGGAAAATGTGGAGCTGTTAGCAACATGTTCAGCACCACTGCTGCTAAATTTGGGACATTTTGCAAAGTCACTTACGTCTACCTTTAGTCAACCCCTGTTTTAAGGACAGTAGTGGGTTTGAGCAGGATTCGAACCTGGGCCTCCTGGTCTCAATGCGGCTATTCATCCCATTGTGTTCTCAAAGCATTTCATGCGACCTTAAAGCTCTCAAGAATTACATTAAGTTGCTGAACCCTGACCTCTGACGTGGCAGATTAGTTGGCTTAGCTATAAACTTTGGTGTGTAACTCTGTATGGATCGAAGAATGTATTGACAGTGGGGGTCTGCCTGTCGTAAAATGAGTAAAAGCTGCCTCAGCCAGATAAACAATAGAATTAGAGGAAAACTACTGAGGAGGGGGATACAGGGCAGCCCCGGCCTCTCCTCCAGCTGGGATATCCAAAGAATCGGTGAGGTCAAGAAGTAAACCTCAAGGCTATATTTTGAAAAAAAAAAGGAATTCCCAGCATCCTTAACTCTACAGAGCTCCATTAGTTCAAATGTACACAAATCAAATTGGTTATGAAATCAGTAATGAAATCAATACATGCTAAAATAATAGCTGTATGGGTTCAGCTTGGAGTAAAATGTGTCTTTGAAATCACCTAATATCAGCTCACTTGGCCTAGATTTAGTCAGGTTAGGTTGTAGAGCATTTTGAGTGGATTATATTGGCTAGGTATCATTAACCTATACGTGTACTTCCACTAAAACAGCCAGTGTAGGCTTTCAAAAAATAAAAATAGAACTCAATATTTCATACAGAGATAATACCTTGCAACTATAAATGTAATACTTTCAGTCATATTTGTTGTTTTTTTAATATAATGTTTTTAAATGTGGGTGATAACTTTTAAAGGTTTATTTCTTTTCTGATAGTGTTTCATAGTAAAACAAGAAGTGTTGTGATGTCTTGTACTATGAAGGTATGATTGTAAAGAGCAAACGGGTGAGGTGTTTCAGGTGTGCAGATCCGACTACAAGCCAACGAAATGAAGATAAAAAATTTCAGAGGTGGGCCATTCTGGTGTCACAAATTTATGAAACGAAAAGGACTGTACATCTGACAGAGTGGAGAAGTGTGAAAACATCCACGATCACCAACAGATTTCAACCGGCTGGACTGCTGCTTGATGGAGATGAGGACACCGCCACGGCCCTTCAGAGGGTGTTCGACTCCAACACTGACAACGAGAATTTTTTTGGTTTTGAAAGCCGACACTGGAGAAGAGGACTTTGGTGGTTTTAGTGCGCAGGAAGAAGAGAAAGATGGTGGTGAATGACTGACTTTTCTTCTTGTTAAAGCCATGTTACTGCACCTGAGCCTAAAAGGTAGGCCAAATCGTTTTTTCTGGTGTGCTGTAGGTTATTGTTATGTACTACTACATTTGTTACTCGTTCTTGTAATTACCGGTACTTGTACATAAAAAGTTGTGCAAATATGTACTGGTAACTTGTTTTTCAAAATATTAATATAAGGGATGTGTTCCCAAACAGCCATCTCTTTCCTGACAATCCCCTTTGTGCATATTCTCTTACATATGGTAAGTAAACATTAAAGCACCTGCGGCTTTTAGTCAGGTGCGGCTGATGTAGGTACAAAACAGGATTTTCCCCTGATTTTAGCTTGTGCGGCTAATATTCAGGTGCGCTTTGTAGTCCGGAAAGTACGATAATTTAATTTCAAGGGGAAATTAAGTCTCACTGACGTTAAAGGCCAAAGAATAAAAGTGGGTTTTAAGACGCAATTTAAAATTGGACAGTGAAGGGGCCTCTCTAACGTGCAAGGGCAAATTATTCCATCATTTTGGAGCCACGATAAAGAAGGCCCGCTCCCCTCTGAGCTTCCTCCTGGATCTCAGTACCTCCAGGGGCAGCTGACCTGGGAGACCGACAGGGTGTGTGGAGATGAAGAAGCTCAGAGAGGTAAGGCGGGGCAAGACTGTGAACATAAGAATTTTAAAATTAACTCTAAAAGACACAGGGAGCCAGTGCAGTGAGGCTGGAACAGGGGTTATATGCTCTATTTTAAAAGTTCCTGTTAGGAGTCATGAAGCAGCGTTTTGAACCAGCTGCAGACTTGAGAGCAATGACTGACTGACCCCCACGTAAAGTGCGTTACAGTAGTCCAGGCGCGAAGAAATAAAAGCATGGATCACTGTTTCAAGGTGCTGCCTTGAAAGAAAAGATTTTACTCTTGCCAGTCGCCTTAAATGATAAAAACTGGACTTCACCACTGCTCTGATTTGGTTGTCCAATTTAAAATCACCATCCAACTTAAAACCACGATCAGTAACAACAGGTTTAAGATAAACTTCCAGGGGTCCCAAATCTACAGAGAAGGACTCGCAGGGACCACTGGGTCCAAACACCAACAACTCTGTTTTCTTTTCATTAACATTTAAAAAGTTTAGAGCCAACCAACCTTTAATGTCATCTAGGCATGTTGTGAGAGGTTTTATGGAGATGCCACCCTTCTGCTTCAGGGGCAAATAAATTTGGATGCCATTATCATCTAGAAAATCTTTCAGTTGACTAAAAACAATTTTCTCTAAAACCTTGGAAAGTAAAGGGAGCTTGGAAGTAGGCCTATAGTTCGCTAAAACTGTGTGATCAAGGCCAGGTTTCTTAAGCAGTGGCTGCACTAGTGCATGTTTGAAACTTGCAGGAACCACACCAGAAGACAGACTGCTGTACCTTCTCTCTGTATTTAGACTCATTGTTGTTGGTGATGAGACCCACCACTGTTGTGTCATCTGAAAACTTGATCATGTGATTTGAGCTGTACTGTGCAGTACAGTCATGTGTTAGCAAGGTGAACAGCAGTGGACTAAGCACACAGCCCTGTGGTGATCCTGTACTCAGTCTGTGTTATTTCCTATGGAGACAGACTGGGACCTGTCAGTTAGGAAGTCCAAGATCCAGTTGCAGAGAGTGATGTTTATTCCCAGTAGGTCCAACTTCTTTACCAGCCTCTGGGGAATGACAGTGTTGAATGCTGAGCTGAAGTCATTAAACAGCTATCTGGCATACGTGTCCTTTTTGTTGAGATGGGAGAGAGAAAGGTGAACAGCAGACAAGATGGCATGATTTCTGGAGCGGTTTGGGCAGTAGGCAAACTGTAGCAGCTCCAGATTTGGTGGAAGGTGAGTTTTCATGTGCCTCAATACCAGCCCCTCAAAGCACTTTGCGATGATGGGTGTAAGTGTCACCAGCCGGTAGTCATTGAGGCAGGAAACAGTGGCACTTCTTTGGTACTCGGGTGATTTTGTAGTTTTGATGCATAGATCAGTGGTGTTTTTAAGATTGTCCAATCTGGGGGAGGGGTGAAGCCTTGTATGCTGAATGTTTGAGTAAACAAGGTCTAACATGCTGTCCCCTCTTGTCGCAAAGTCAATGTTCTAATGAAATTTGGGCAGAACTGATTTTTATCAGGTATCTCTCCCTCCTTTTTTGTGACATTGGCAGGACTTTTGTTTTGTTGTAATTATAAAAGACCAAATTGGTTGTGAGAGTTGATCATTCAAGATCAGCTCAGCAGACAAAACACAGTTTAAGTGTCATGGTGAGCTGTGCTGGAGGCTAGAGTAGGGCCCAAATACAGGACTCTGAGACAATATTAACTTAGAGGCAGCTTTTTTTGATATAGTAATTACATAAAGCAAAGTACAAGACAAAACACTAAAAGAAGCAAACAAAAGATAAACTTGAACTCAGATATTGGCAACTGAAGCACTCATAACCAGATATAACTGAGAGAACATGAAAGACACTCTATGGCACAGCTACTATGGAGAACATGACAAAGAACAGAGGGCACACATGAAGGGTAACGAGGAGATGGGTAACAGGTGTGAACACAGCTGGGACTAATCAGTCATGGCCAGACACAGAGGAAGGAAAACCGGTTACACTTTGTTTTCTTTTATTTTTCAATACCAAACTGTCATAATACACATAGGTACATATAGAAATGATCTTTTTCTTTTTTATAGCATATAAAAAAAAAAAAACATAAATGGGATGAGTACCTGAATACCCCCACTCCCTCCCAATAATGTAAAAATGAATATGTTACAGAGGAAATGAATTAACCCATACAAAATATACAAAAAAAGCAAGAACAAGAAATCAACAATAAGATAGTAGTGCGTATCCTTATAGTTTAATATTAACATTAATAAATATTGATAAATCTTAAATATTAAGAGTAGTAACAATATTAATATTACTGAATCCCTGCTCAGCGGTTGAAACAAATTAATAATGCTGGAATATCTTTAAATAAAGCATTCTTATAAGGTAGAACAGCCACTGCCGGGAATAGCAGAACAATTTGTACACTGTCATATGGTGGACTACAGAGAGAGTTCTACTTTTCTAAGTATTTAAGTAATGGTTTCCAGTGAGTAAAAAATAAATAAATCTATTGGATGAGCCTCTG